TCCTCTATCCTGAGCACTGGATTTGAGTCCTGGACTTCGAGTCGTGGCTGAACCGGTCTCTGCAGTCCTGCCTGACTCTCACCATACTACTTCCCTGGATCTCCCACAGGATTGCTGACATCCTCGTGGATTCATCTTCATATTATAGACACATGCATTTCCAAACATTTGGACTACCTATGTTGTAATGTATCATCTTTTAGATCATCTATTGCACGTCTGTCCGTACTGGGAGAGGGATCCCTCCTCTGTTGCTCTCCCTGAGGTTTCTCCCATTTTCCCCTTTAAAACTGTGGGGTTTCTCTGGAAGTTTTTCCTTGTACGATGTGAGGGTCAAAGGACAGAGGGTGTCGTATTGTCATACTGATATTCTGTACACACTGTGAAGTCCACTGAGACAAATGTAACATTTGTGATATTGGGCTATATAAATAAACATTGAGATTGATTGATTCCAGGTGAACATTACGAAATAATCAAGAAACATCATAAATTAAACCACTGACAGGGAACATTTTACTGCACCATTGTTACTGTTACGTAAGAAGGTGCTGTCAAATGTTCTGATGATGCTTGCATACTTTTACTTAAATAAGGTTTGAATGCAGTATTTTAATTCTATACTGTAGGCGTAGTGTATCTGTGAACGATCCCAAATACAATTCCTTGTTTATTGCAGCTAGTGCTACGCCAGAAGAAAAAACCCTTTTTCATTTTCAAAGGGGCTGGGCTACATAAGTTGAATTGAGACAAACAAAAATACACATTAAGTGGGACACAGAAAGATAATGTGAAAATATAAAAACATTAATTAGGGCTGAAAAATGTCTCCCATTGTAATGGTGATTAGATTTTTAAATGCTAACACTTAACAGTTTATTCTGACTGTGTGTCTCCTGTTTCCTGCAGACGTCCAGGTGGTGGTTAAAGAAGAGGTTATCCCCTGACCAGCAGGAAGTGGAGCACCAGTCTGGACCAGGAGGAACCCAGAGCCCCCCCCACACATTAAGCAGGAACAGGAGGAACTCAAGATCAGTGAGGAGGTGGAGGAGGCTGATATCACCAAGTCCACTTTCACTCCTGACCCTGTGAAGAGTGAAGATGATAAAGGAGAAACCTAGTCTCACAGCCTCATCAAAGACAAACTGAACACATGGAAACAGAAGCTGATGGAGATGATTGTCGAGGACCAGAACCAGCCAGGAACTCAGATCCAGAGAGCAGTTTACAACCAAAGACTGAGGACCACACTGGAGACTCTTCTGAACCCGACACTGGAGACTCTTCTGAACCCGACACTGGAGACTCTTCTGAACCCGACACTGGAGACTCTTCTGAACCCGACACTGGAGACTCTTCTGAACCGGACACTGAAGACTCTTCTGAACCTGACACTGAAGACAGTGCTGATTGGAAGGAGACCAGAGAACCTGCGTCAGGCTCAAACTCACTGAAAAATAGACATGAATCTGTCAGTGATTCACGACCTAGTGCTGAAAATAAACCATTCAGCTGCTCAGTCTGTAAGAAAGCTTTTTCACATAGTGGACATTTAAAGGAACACATGAGAGTCCACACAGGAGAGAAAGCACACAGCTGTACAGTCTGTAAGAAAGCTTTTTCACAGAGTGGAAATTTAAAGGAACACATGAGAATCCACACAGGAGAGAAAGCACACAGCTGTACAGTCTGTAAGAAAGCTTTTTCACATAGTGGACATTTAAAGGCACACATGAGAGTCCACACAGGAGAGAAAGCACACAGCTGCTCAGTTTGTACAAAAGCTTTTTCACAGAGTGGACATTTAAAGGTACACATGAGAGTCCACACAGGAGAGAAACCTTTCAGCTGCTCAGTCTGTAAAAAAGCTTTTTCACGTAGTGATCATTTAAAGGAACACATGAGAGTCCACACAGGAGAGAAACCACACAGCTGTACAGTCTGTAAGAAAGCTTTTGCACTGAATGGAAATGTAAAGGCACACATGAGAGTCCACACAGGAGAGAAACCACACAGCTGTCCAGTCTGTAAGAAAGCTTTTTCACAGAGTGGAATTTTAAAGGCACACATGAGAGTCCACACAGGAGAGAAAGCACACAGCTGCTCAGTTTGTAAGAAAGCTTTTTCACAGAGTGGAATTTTAAAGGCACACATGAGAGTCCACACAGGAGAGAAACCTTTCAGCTGCTCAGTCTGTAAAAAAGCTTTTTCACGGAGTGGACATTTAAAGAAACACATGAGAGTCCACACAGGAGAGAAAGAATAGAGCTGCAATATTTGTGACAAAAGATTTAAATGTCATAATCGTTTCAAGACACAAGTGTGTTGGTCGTCAGCTGCTTCTGTAACTGTAAGGGAATACATTTGTCTATTTTGTGTCCTGATGGCCTAATGCCGTTACATGTAATACGTTACTCCCTAAGCCTGATTTCACCCACCTGCAACCGATTCACTCATAATCACAAATGTTCATTTCTTTGACCCTTGACTCGACAACTTTCTTGTTTAATAATCGTTACATCTCCTCAGGACCAAGTTCCTGTGTCCTGCCTTCACCTGCTGATCACCCACTGCTCATTTAAGGTGGACTGACCTTTACAAGGGACCAGCTAGTCTTAGTGTCTTAATGCAAACGTTTTGTAAAGTGATGCTAGACCAAAGACGTGCTGTTGGGTTGTGTGCTCTCTGCAGGACGGTGTCTGTCCTCAAAGATTGTTGATGAAATGAGAGATTCACTCTGTTTTTGTTGTCTAAACGACGCCAACAGAGCGATACGTCTTCTTTCCAGCAGATTGGCATAAATGTTACATCATCCAGTTCAACTGTCATCCACACATTAATTATTCAAAACAGCAATGTGTGAGATATGGCTAGTAATTGACTATTTCAACAGAATGTGAAGAGGTTACAGTCTTGAGGCCATGTCCAATATGTTTATGCTTTGTTTGATTAAAACTACTGAAATGAGCATTCAATGACTCAATTATTCTGAATTACTGTCATTACATCATGGGTTTGCATTGCAATATTAGAACGCATAAAACCCAACTTTATTTCTTCCAAGTTGCGGGTGTTCATTGTTTAGAAGTCCGCTGTGTTTCGTCCCAGCTTCCACTTCGTGCTCCGATAATGCTGAAAGTATCTGTTGTATGCTTTACCTGCTCCAGTAACACAAGTGTAATTCACTGGACAGAGACAAGAGATAGTGGACGGATCCAGAGGAGAACCAGAAGATAGTCCGTATAGAGCCTTCAGGTTCTGAAAATGATCAGGGATAGAGCTAGAAAAAAAAATCCAAAACCCTGAATAGAGCTAGAAGATAGCCAGTACGAAGCCAAGAGAGACCCAGTAGGAAGACAGGAAGGATCCAAAAGAGTTTGTATTTTTTTATATTCAAGCTCTTCTCTTAAGATATTAGAACTTCCTATCTGAATATGTATCCTTTTATTCCAATTAAACCTTACATTTGTGCTGCCAATTATTGAGACTGTTTCACAGCTTTATGTTAAATATTTAGACTGTTTTCTTTACATATAGATGACATAGGATGAACAGCACGATCCACTCTGCTGGATTCTGCCCAAATCGGCTCCAAATGCATGCACACATCTCACTGTATCCATACTCCAGCAGTTGTATTGTTCTGGATTCATAGTGAAGAGTATTAGATGTTCTGCACTCTTATTGTTATGTATTTAATATAAAGTCAAATACCCATAAAGTCAGAAAAGACAAGAGACTCACTTAAGGAAAAAGGTTCTTCATTTGCACATAAACATGGTCGAATATTTAACGTTGTGACCAGATGGTGTCGCCCTAATCCGTGTATCTACGGTCCATTTGTTTTTCTTTATTACACAAGTTAGCGGAAGAGCGTCTGAGAGGCCTTTTTGTTTTTTACCTTACTAAATGGTCATTGGAGCGAGGGGCGGGGCGAAACTCGCGGAAGTGATTTCAAAACAAAAGCCCTCGTTTGCTTGGAACAGTGATAATATTATAAACAAGGGGAAACGAGGTGAAACGAGGTGAATTTAGCGATCACAACGAAAACAGCCAAGACACATATCGAGCCCAGAAAATGAATGTTATCAAGGGCTGTAAATATAATAGGCCTTTGTCTAACATTGACAACATTGTAAGGATATTTAAACTATACAGCGATTCTGCACTGCGGTCACTCAGCCGTCTCTGGAGTTTGTTTTTTCAAATCAGCTGCTCTTCATTTTTTCCCCTGCTATATTCAATGAGTGATACAAATATTTGTTACCACAAGTTCTTAATAAAACTGACTCTGTTGGACTCAGTACTAGTTTGACTGCTACCAGAAATGAAATGAAGTACTTTTACTCTGTGTACTTTGTGAGTAATCCTCTGTCAGAGTCCCCTCCATAGTACATAATGCATGTTTTCTGCTGTCTTTGATGAGTGATAAAAATAAAATGTTACCATTAGTTCTTAATGAAATTGATACTTTTTGACATTGTATTAGTTAGCCTACTACTAACAATACATTAAAGTACCTTTACTGTGTATTTTTTGAGAAATACTCTGTCAAAGTCCCCTGCTGAGAACAAAATCAAGCCACTTCTGCAGTCAGTGTATAAGCAGTCAGTAGCATAGAAGCAGTCAGTAGAATATAAGCAGCAGTCATTGGTATATAAGCAGCAGTCAGTAGAATATAAGCAGCAAAACAGGTCTTTAACCATAGTTTTCTTTTTTAAGAAAAGTTGATATTTTGTTAAAAAACATGACTTTATTGTGTAGTGGGTGTTAACTGGCGTTTGGCTCATCATGCATACTAATAATCTAAAGAGGAAGGAAAGCTCTTAGCCTGATATCCGTCTGCTGCTCCTTGACGACAGAGGAAAGTTATCTTTAAACACATCGTTCTTCCTTCACTGTGAGTAGAAACAGTTTATTGATGGAATGATTCTGTAAACCTCCTGTGAACATTATTTAATCTGACATGTGTTATAGTCTCACAGAGATGAGAGGAGCAGCTATGAGTTTCACTGCAGCAGCGAGTGGATTAGTCGTCTTCCTGCTCTCTGTGTCAGGTACTGAACATCTACACTTACATTCATCACAGGAACAGAGGGGATTCTGGGAAAATGTGCGACTTGTAAAACCAGGTCACATGTGGGAATAAGTGGGATGGATTTGTGTAAAAGGCAAACCTAGCAGAAACATTTTAAATGTATTTGTGTGTAGAATTGTAGAAACACAAAGACGTTACTAGTTTGTTTGATGGATTTTCTGAAGATCTTGTCGTGCGTTGCCTCTGTCCTTTGCTCGAGTCATCTGCATAGAATATCTGTTTGCTCATCACCTTTACAAGCGTTAAAATGAGAGTATAGTGTCTGCATAACTGCTCCATCCTTTCTCTGTGAAAACACTTTGCTTTGTTTTTTTCTTAAGACGACTTAAAGAATCTCCAGCTCTGTTTTTATTAAGTTGAAGTGATTTAGAGAGATATTCTTATTCTAAGTCTTAACATATTGACTGAACTCTTATCGATCATATGTCTGCCCCAAACCCTTCTAGTTCCTTCTCTCCTCTCTGACCTCAGTGTTATTTCCCACACTCTGAGTTACAGCAGTCTTCTTCTTTTTCTTATCTGCATCAGACAGAAGCTGCTCACACCTCAGTGCTCTGCATTCATAGTTATTGTTCAGATACCTCAGCAGCAACCTGACCACAGAGCGAACAGAGAGGGAACTGGAACGAGAATAACACTGTTCTAATTAACCCTTTAACTGCCAGACCAAGACAAAAGCAATGGAAAACATATTTGGTTTGCATATTTTTATCAAATGGGCCACAAATAACCACACAGTTTTGTTTTTATGAGCCTCTACCATCTGGTCGAACTGGCTTTCTATGGTAAAAGTGCATCTTCAAGAATCATCATATACAGTACAGTACAGTATTTATCAAACTCAAATAAAACACAAACTCAAATAAAACACAAACTCAAATACATTTGTTTCTTTTATGGAAAATGAGCAATATATACATCCAGATATATTCATAAAAGATAATAAATTATAATTGTAAACAAAAGAAAATGGAAAAAAGTAATGTAAAGGGTTTTTCATGATAAAAAAAGACTTGCTCATCTTACTGTATATGCTGAATTGGCCTAACAGGAAACCACTGGCCGAACAGCAAATGTCTATATCCTGTGTTGGCCTAACTTGCTCACCTGTGTGCAACTTTGGGCTGAATGCCATGCATGAAAGGTGCTATACAAATGATTATCACTCTTTCACTCTGAGACTCATAAGGCAGTACTAGATTTAGTAATATTATATATATATAATATATTCTTCAGGAGTGATTTTTAGCATGCCAACTTTCTCAGTGGAAGCTAGCTGAAGGGCTTTCTGTTCGAACCACAGTGACATCTAGAGGTTGTTTTGTGCATAACATGTCAACCAAAGGGTAGAGCTGGCTGACTCAGATGGAGTAAAACTTTTGAATTTTTTTTCAAACAAGATATCAAGACACAAAATGTGCTGGCAGTTAAAGGGTTTAATATGATCGCTAATCCTTCACTGTTCATTTATATGACTGCATTTTCCAATCGTGTGTCAAACTGAACATACCCTTTCTCCATAGACTTCTGTTCTACATGGTTTGATTAAGAAACAACAAAGTCAAAGAGTCTCATTGGTTTTAAAGTACCTAAGAAGGAATTCACATGTGTTTTTCTGCTCTATCCCAGTAAAGTCTGTAACATGTTTATCTTTACATTCTTTGTTGAAAGTACTGTTCAGGAAATGTCTCAACAATGTATAGATTAACTTTGATTCTAGTTTCTGATGTGCTCTGTGTTTCAGTGGTTCAGGGTGAGCATGGCTGGGGAGTGACTTACTCTTCTACTGAGATCTGTGCAGTGAAAGGATCAACAGTGGAGATAAGATGCAGCTTCACATACCCATCTACATGGAAAGGTGGTGTTAACACAGTAGAGAAAACTTTCTGGTTCACTGAGAAGAAAGATGATGAATGTGTAGATCTGACCACAGTCTCAGAGTATGCAGGTCGTGTTGAGGATCTCTGTGAAAACAACATCTGCACTCTGAGACTCAGAAACCTGAGAGAGAGCGACTCAGTTCAGTACAAGTTCAGGATCAAAACAAACCAAGATACATACTTTGGTTATCCTGGACCCACTCTGTCCGTCACAGGTAACATTCACACTGGGTTTATAACAATAACTTCTTGCAAATAGTGTGAATGTTTTTGATTTATATTCATGTATGAACATAATGACAGTTTTGTTAATTCTAGCTTTATTCAGATCTCCAGGTGCAGGTGAGCAGATTTTATTTATCCTTTATTTATCCAGGAATGTCCCATTGAGATACAAGATCTCTTCTTCCAGGGAGTCCTGACCAACACGGCACACAACAAGTTTCAACATAAAACAAGGGCATTAAACAAAAAACATACAATTCAAATATAAATACAGAAGGCCATTTGTGCAGTGGCAAGAAGCATAATCACATCAGCAATAGCATCAGGTAAAACAGTTACATGTTTCATGAAGGGCTAATCGTAGCATACCTTTAAAAGCATTTACAGTAGGAAGTGCCTCTAGACGAAGTTTTACTTGCAGCGTATTCCATAAAAAGGGAGCATAGTGGGAGAATGCAGCTTTACCAAGCTCTGACTGCATCAAAGGAACATTTAAAAGCATCCCATTTGCTGCTCGTCTGGTATTAAAAAAGCAAGTATAAAAGGACAGAAGTCTGGAGATATATAAGGGCAGCTTACCTAGCAATGATTTAAGGATAAAAATCAACATGTGTGATTGTCTTCTTTGGTACAGAGAGGACCATCCTAGGGACTGATACAAAGTGCAGTGGTGGGTGCGAGAGCCTGCACCCGTTACAAAACGTATAGCAGTATGGTACGCATAATCCAGCTTTTTAAGCAGGGAGGAAGGAGCATGCATATAGATCACATCGCCATAGTCTAATACAGACAGAAAGGAACTCTGCACAATTCTCTTCCTGGCTTCAGACGGGAAACATTTCTTTAAACGGAAGAAAAAAGCCCAGTTTAGGTCTAAGTTTTCTCAGTAGGTTCCCAATATGAACATCAAAGGCCATCTTTTCATCAATCCATATGCCCAGATATTTGTAGGATGCTACTTTGTCAAGGCATGTCCCTTCCAGTGTCAGAATCGGAGGGACAACTGTATTAGCTCGAGAGCGAGGGAAGGTCATGTACTTGGTCTTTTTTGCATTAAGGACCAGTCTTAGCCTTAGCAAGGAGTGTTGCAGTGTATTAAAAACATCCTGTAGAAGCTCTAAGGCCTGAGTTAAAGAGGAAGCCACTGTGTAAACAACTGTATCATCGGCGTATAAATGAAACCGTGCTGGGTTTATCCCATTTCCTAGTTCATTTATAAAGATGGAGAATAAGACAGGGGCCAAAATAGAACCTTGTGGAACACCTTTGTTTACAGTAAGAGCAGCTGAGGTATAATCATCTACTGAGACACACTGAGTTCTTTCAGATAGATAGTTTTTAAACCAGCTCAAAGCCATTTTGCCAAGACCTATGCAGCCAAGCCTCTGCAGTAGCAATGCATGATCCACAGAATCAAAAGCTTTAGACAGATCAACAAACAATGCTGCACAGTGTTTTTTCTTGTCTAGTGCTTCAATTATGTCGTTTGAGACTAGCATAGCCGCTGAAGTAGTACTATGGCCTGATCTGAAGCCTGACTGAGACTCGTTAAGAATATTATGGTCAGTTAGAAACTTTTTCAGTTGTTCGTTTACAAGAGATTCAAAGACTTTGGCCATTACAGACAGTCTGGAAATAGGGATAGTAGATCAGGATCGTCTACTCTCCTTCGGTGTCTCAGCAGTTGTCTACCTGGTCATACTTCTTACATCTGGTTTAAGAACGGACATGAAGTGAAGGAAGACACATCTCCTGATGCAAACTTCAGATATGATTCAGCAGACAGTTATTCCTGTGCTCTGAAGAGATATGAGGACTTCCCCTCTCCTTCAGTGTGTGAGTTTACTCAAAGTCTTCCACTGACATAATAACATTAACATACAGTATAACATATATCATCATTGCACTCATGTATCTATTTACCCACCAGAGGTCTCCACCAGATGGCAGTGTCCAAAGACACTGAACCAGAGCTCTAGGTTTTCTGTCTGATTTTAAAATAGGTAACATATAACCTAGCTACGTGGGATGCTACTAGAAAGAAGAATAAAGGAGAATTATGAAGGAAACTTCTTCCATGACATAAAGATTAACACTTTCCCTCAAAGTGTTTAGATTTCTGATAAAGGATGGAATCAAGTGAACCACCCACTCTGTGTTTTATTAAACTATTGTTCATTAAAACATCTTCCTCTGTGGAATTAAATGTGAAATATGTTCATGTTATCTCCTCCAGATGCTCCAAGCTTTAAAATGTGTTGCATTGTGTTTGTGAAAAACGGTTCCTGCTTCGTGTCTCTGGACATTTGCAAGTTGCCATTATATCTACCCTTCCATGTTAATAACTTTAAACACTTCTCTTCCAGACTCTCCAAAGCCTCCCTCTGTGTCAGTGAGTCCCTCTGCTGAGATAGAGGAGGGCAGTTCAGTGACTCTGACCTGTAGCAGTGATGCTAACCCAGCAGCTAACTACACCTGGTACCAGGAGGATGGAAATGCACACCTTTCTTCTTTCAATGAAGGACCACGTCTTTTCCTCAGCTCCATCCCGTCCTCTGACTCTGGACAGTATTACTGCAGAGCTGGGAATATGCTGGGGAACACAATATCTGAATCCATCTCTATTGATGTGACATGTGAGTGAAACCCAGATCATATAAAAAGCATCATGCAACCAATGGCAACTTGTTCACAGTCTTCTGCTGAGGTCAATGAGATGGAGAGCAGCTACAGTAGATGCAACCTAGTCTCACAAAAAAACGTGTAATAACTACGTTGGTCCACAACTTGGGACTTAGTATTTCTACAAAAACGCCTCTGAAATTGTAAGATCCCTACGTTTTTTTTCACCATTCATTCCAATGGCTGGCGTCTATGTCACGTGATCTTCAAATTTCTCCCTGCAGAAAAATAAACATGGCCGACATTCGTTTTATTCTCGGTGGAAAATGCCTATTTTAAGGTTAGTTTGGACAATAAATTGCGTTTTGATGTCATTTTATACGAGAAATATGAGTTGTTATTTCAGATTATGTGTGCAGTAGATGCACATGATCTTTAGTTTGCTAGTATTATGAAGATTACTTCAGGAGATTGTGTCCATTCAACGTTTTCATTGTTACCAAGGTGGTTGCTAGGGACGCTGGTATCGATATTATTTCTGTTATGTTGTGTAACTGTTTAATGGTGTAATCTTTATTGCTACCCCCTTCCCCGTCAATGTATAGTGTTGGTCCACAGCGCAAACGTATTAGTTTAACAAAATCCGCATCTAAAATTGTGGCATAGATACGTTATTTTCCCCTGTGCAATTCCAGTCTCACATCTCACATCACATCTTCATAAACAAATACCGGAAACAGACCGAAAACACTTTTTAAAAATAAAATAATACTTTATTCCGAGTATTCTTGCTTTTCTCTTTGAAGGTTATCACATAACGGCATTGTAATACACGGTTCGGCTGCATTAAATATTACATATCTGCCGTAGTTCTCTATTTATAGAGCCCTGATGAGAAGACTTCTGGACAAACATGAGGAACTGCCGCCAAAACTGAAAACGTGACGTGGATCATAAATATATCAGCAATTAAACAACATCTTACATTTATTTTCACACAATACGTCTCCTTGCAGTATCAACACTAATTCGGCTGACTTTTATATTTGATCCAATTGGTAGATAGGCTGTATTTACACCATAACGGTGCAGAGCTGATAGAAAGGGTGGTTAAAGCATGTTATTGAATTTCATTATTTTTATTATTAGATACTAATAGGATCCCTATAAAGTATATTCATTACTCGTTATTCTCTACTAATAGTTCATTAAAGACTATATATGATGACTATTTTGCACATCCCTTTCAAGATTTCAAGATTTTCTAAGGTTTATTGACATATCATATACACAACTACGGTGTATTATGCATTGAATGAAATGGGTCGTAGGTTCCTCAACAGTGCATTACAAGACATCTATCAATATGTGTGTATACCTCCAGCAATGTTAACTATGTTGAAGCAATTATTTTAACTGATATTATACATATGTATTATGTGTCCAACTGGATTTTGACAGGATAACAACTGGTGACTTCTAGAATTGTGTGAGTAACATTGTGTTTTTAGACTTCTCTGTGTCAGTGTGTGTACTCTGTATAAATGCTCTGTAGTTGATCTGACTGAAATTGTGATTTTAAATCTCAAAACCACTACAGTATCTGTCAGGCAGAAACTTGGGACAAGTCATTTGACTGAAACCTTAAAACTGAACTAACTGACTGCTAAGGTTAACTTTGATTTAAACATTTGTAGAATACTAAGAGCTTTATTGAGTAGGTGTAAATGTATTAAGGGTTAAACTCATAACTGTATAACTTAGGGTTTAATGTAATTGTAAAACCATTGTGCCACTGAAAAGACAATAACAACTCAGGAGGGAACCAGTCTCCATTTCCTTTTGAGGACCACCAGCTGAAGAGAGTTAACTAATTAAAGGGGTGTGGCCCCACAGCTGTGAGAACTCAGCAATCAGGTGTCCATTTTAGGTAGCACTTTCCTGGAGCGTCAGCTTCAGCGTCAGACTGACAAAGACATTAGAGTCCTGCGGGAGTAAGACTGACAAAGACATTAGAGTCCTGTGGGAGTCACGAGGGAGGCAAAGAGGAGGAAAATCCTGCTCTGATTGAGCTAAGTATCGCTGGTGTTTTATTTGGTAGAAAAGAGCAGGAGGAGGGAAACACAACAGAACCAGCATAGCCCGCCTGGCACGTACCAGAGTTCATCAGCTGTTAAAGGTGGAGCAACTTCTACTGGGTATCTCAACCTATAATTATATATCATTGTTTAGTAATATTTTCTTTTAGCTAATAATTTGAATTTGTAACTAGTACCTACTTTTGTCAAATCATTGTAGTGCAGTAAAAAGATCAATACTGGTTTCCAAATTGTAGTATAAAGTAGCATATAATGGAAATACTCAAGTAAAGTACAAGTACCACAATATTGCACAATACTTGAGTAAATGTACTTCACTACATCACACCACTGCATGGTAGTAAAGAGCAGTAATGAAGTAATTCACGAGTAGAGTTCATGATTATACTGGGCCAGAATCAGAGTAACAGCGGAGCCACCATAAGGAGTAAATGCTGCTTTGATTTACTAAACCTTTAGAGGACTTGGAGAATACGAGGGTAACAAACAACTAAACTGAACTCAAATCCAAAGTGACGGACAGCCAGAGACGCTTCACTTTCACATTAAAGAACAAAGACTTCACTTTTGTCTTCCTGGTATCCTCAAGTTTACTTTACACCTTTGATCCTTGGGGGTCATTTTGACTAACGAACAAACTAGTGGCAGAGGAATAATTATATATTAAGACAGCAGCATCATAAGAGGGCAACCATGTGACGGAGTGTGTCACTTTGCTGAAGGATATTTGTGAGCTATCCAGGTCAGACTCTAAAGACTTTCCAAGGTGTAAAAATGCTGCTGCTGGAGTACTGACTGGAAGTATTGCTGATATCATGTCTACCATCCTCTTAAAATACTCTGTCCAACAATATCAGTCTCAGGAAGAAAGGTTTTTTAACGCTTATTAAAAGAAAAACATGCATTCTTGTTCTCAGGAGGGGACATTGACAGAGGATTACTGGAAAAGTACACAGTAAGTACTTCATAGTACTTGTGGGGGTAGTTTCACTAGTACTGAGTCCAACAGGATCAATCTCACGAAGAACTAATGGCAACAAAAAATAATTCCCTCATCAAACTTAGCAGTGGCTTGATTTTGTTCTCAGCAGGGGACTTTGACAGAGTATTTCTCAAAATATACACAGTAAAAGTACTTCAATGTATTGTTAGTAGTAGGCTAACTAATACAAAGTCAAAAAGTATCAATTTCATTAAGAACTAATGGTAACATTTTATTTTTATCACTCATCAAAGACAGCAGAAAACATGCATTATGTACTATGGAGGGGACTCTGACAGAGGATTACTCACAAAGTACACAGAGTAAAAGTAATTCATTTCATTTCTGGTAGCAGTCAAATTAGTACTGAGTCCAACAGAGTCAGTTTTATTAAGAACTTGTAGTAACAAATATTTGTATCACTCATTGAATATAGCAGGGGAAAAAATGAAGAGCAGCTGATTTGAAAAAACAAACTCGAGAGACGACTGAGTGACTGCAGTGCAGAATCGCTGTATAGTTTAAATATCCTTACAATGTTGTCAATGTTAGACAAAGGCCTATTATATTTACAGCCCTTGATAACATTCATTTTCTGGGCTCGATATGTGTCTTGGCTGTTTTCGTTGTGATCGCTAAATTCACTTTGTTTCCCCTTGTTTATAATATTATCACCTTCCAAGCAAACGAGGGCTTTTGTTTTGAAATCACTTCCGTGAGTTTCGCCCCGCCCCTCGCTCCAATGACCATTTAGTAAGGTACAAAACAAAAAGGCCTCTCATACGCTCTTCCGGTAACTTGTGTAATAAAGAAAAACAAATGGACCGTAGATACACGGATTAGGGCGACACCATCTAAGGCCTGTACTACGATGCAGGATTTTCGCATAGCGGCTAACTTCAGGGAAAACTCGGGGTTTCCGGTCCTACGACGCTGGTTCTCTTTTTAGCAGGCTAGATCTCCATGGTAACTTATGCTGTGCGGCTAACCTGCCCCGGAGCAGGTTAGGTTGCAGGCTAAGAGCTCAACTCAGTGAAAGCACTGCCTGCTGACCAATCAGAGCTCAGTGTGCGGAGTTTAAAACGAGCAAGTCATATTACAGGAGAAAGGAAATACAGAAAAGCTGCCGTTGCAGGAAAGACGGCCGGCAAAAATCACCGACTGTGTGAACGTGAACATGAATAGAATATCACCTCCCATCTTCAGAGCAATCTGACTATTATAATATTAGCGTTAAGAAAGCTTACTTAAATATCTGACACAACATAAGTAACCGGATCAGAGTAACATTAAGTACAGTCCGCGGCATATCACTTCATAATGTATCATATATTTCCTTATCTGAGTCAGCTGAGCCGTATCTGGCCGTGCAACACTCAGTGTCACATACTGTATGCAGAAGTATTATTTTAAGCAACACATTAAGTTGACGAAACACTCGAGTCAAATGTAATGAAAGTCAGATCGTGTCTTAGACGGGGCAGTGATATCATAAACCTGTTAATGTACGCATTCAAACACTTGTTCTTTTCCCAGCTGTATTCACCTTGCAAGTGCAGCTATGTGGCTTTTATCCTGGATAAAGTGTTCAAGTCATGGATGTTTAAAGTTTAACTTCTTCATATGTCTAATATTATAGTTGACTTTTCATTCAGGAAGTATGACGCTGCACTGTCAGTATGCTTCTCCATGTTTGTGATTGGTCGAATGCTCCAAATACCACCCCTTTCATGTGAACGCGCACCTAACTAGATAGGACACAAATTGGCTTGAGCGATCCACTTGATAACCCGCGTCGTAGTACAGTTTAGCAAGAGCGCGTATGTTTTGGATTAGGCCAACCAGCTAACTCAAACATATCCAGGTTAGGTTGAACCAGCTTCGTTGTACAGGCCTCTGGTCAAAACTTAAAATATTTGACCATGTTTATCTGCAAATGAAGAACTCTCACTGGTTCAGAACCTTTTTCCTTAAGTGAGTCTCTTTTCTTTTCTGACTTTATGGGTATTTGACTTTATATTAAATAC